CTGCTTTTGAAATCTAAGGAAGAGATAGCAGATTTGTTTTTATAAATGTACTAAGTCTGTTTCATATTTTAAACTCTAAATAATTCAGGAAACTGTTGCCCCTAAATCTTCTGTTCACACTCAGAAAGCTTGTTTCTTCTATCATAAGAGCCTCCCTTCCTCGCTCCAGCGGCTGTCCCTCCTGTTCTCTTTGTAGAGCCACGCAGCTGGAAAACCTGCCTGCCCACACCCCCTCTTCCTTCCCCTGAGATGGATTCCGGCTCCACCCTTCCCCAAATCACCATTGCTGAAGTCGGTATTGGCTTTACTGTTGAATCCCATGGGATGAGTACCTGGCTGCTTGACAGAACGTGAATGCAGCACTGACTTGCTGTGGCTTTCACACTAGCACGACCTCTGTGTCCTTCTCAGGCCCTTGTCTCCCCTTTTCTGTCTCCCCCACGCGGCTCTCCTTCTGTTAATCTACGTTGATGTCTGGAGCCCTTCTCTTGCTCCAGGAACGTGCCCCAAGCAATCCTGCCTATTGCTGACATTTGTATACAGATGAGTTCTTGCTAGAGGTCCCCACAACCACCTTCAAGCTCAGTAATTCTCTAGAAGGACCCGCAGGACTCAGAAAATCGGTTAAACACTGTGATTATGGATCATTTCAACAAAAGGATACAGATCAAAATCAGCAAGAAAAGGAGCACAAGGCAAAGACCAAGAAAAGTCTGGGCTTCCCTTCCCAGGAGAATTACACAAGGACGCATTTACTTCTTCCAGCAATGATGTGTGACAACACACGGGAGGGGTTGCTAACCAGTAAAGCTCCCCTGCACCACGGTGTGCACGGTTTTTATTGGGGACCAGTCACGTATGCGTACAGCACCCCTGTACCTGACCTCAGCTACTCCCAGTCCAGCACCACCACCCCACTTCCTGAGCCAAAACAAAGGTTCCCCACTAATGCCATTGCTAGGGCAGACTTATCTGTCCCACAGTGAGACAGCATGGCCTCAAGCCTACGCATACAGAAAACTCTCTTAGCAGGCAGCCCCCTCTGTGGGCTTAGAGGTTATCTTCTGGGGGCTGGCCACACGCCCGCCTTGATGACGGGCCCTGCTCTGTGCTGTGTAGACCCTGAGTAACCCTTCCTTGTCCACTTCTGTATCTGTATCTTTAACTTCTAAATTTCCAGTTTTTATGTCTGATTGCTATGTGACATCTCAGTATTAATATGTCATAGACCATTGCATATTCAACCTGTACCAAACTGATTACAACATGGTACCACTGTTATTTATCCTTCTCATTTTCCAGATGCCCACTGACATTCTTGACTTTGCTGATATGCCTCCCCCCTCTAGGATATTACCATTTATAATAAAATTAAACATAAATAACACCAAATCTATCTTTCCTCATCCTTCCTGCCACTTCCCTACTCCAGGTGGTCTTTACCACATACTAGAATTATGAGTTTCCATCTGGAATTTCTGCCTCTAGTGTGCTTTTCTCCATTTAGTATCTTTATGGAAATATAAATCACATAGCATAAAATTCACTCCTATAAAGTATACAATTCAGTGACTTTTCGTGTATTCATAGAGTTCCACAGCTGTCACAATAACCTAAGACCATTTTTATTACCCCCCAAGTAAACCTCGTAATGAACAGTGACTTCCCATTCTTCTTCCTCCCTAGTCAACCACTAATTTGCTTTTTTGCTTTTTACACAGCCTTTATGGAGATATAACTCACATACCCTACAATTCACCCATTTAAGGCATACGGTTCACTGGATTATTGTACGTTCACAGTTACGCAGCCATCACCACAGTCTGTTTTAGATCTTCATCGTCCCTCAGAGCAGCCCCATACCTGTGGGCCGGCACTCCCCATTCCAGCCCCCTACTGTCCCACTTCTCTGTCTCATGCCACCAGTAATCTGTCTCTATGGATTTGCCTGTTTTTGACATTTTGTGTAAAACGGAACAATATGTGTAGTCTTTTGTCCTACCTTCTTTCACTTAGCATACTGTTTTCAAGGTTCATTCAAGCTGCTTTTTATTGCTGGATAATATTTGATTGTATGGATATGCCATGTTTTATTTGTCCATTTTTTATTAGTCAAGGACTTTGGTTGGGGTTATTTCTATTTTTTTAATAATTCTATTATTTTTTTGGATATTATCAAGAATGCTGCTGTGTACATTCATGTACAGATTTTTGGGTGGATGGATGTTCTCACTTTCTTGGGTATGGCCTAGGAATGGAATTATTAGGTCACATAGTAGCGCTCTGCTTAACATTTTTGAGGCAATGTTAAGTGGTTTTCCCAAGTGGCTGGACCAGTTTTCATTGCCTCCAGCAAGGTGTAAGGCTTCCATTATCTTCAGTGTTCTCCTTGTTATTATAGTACCACTTGTTAAAGAGACTGTTTGAATATCAATCTATAGTAACTTATGTCTGGGCTCCCAGTTCTATTTCATTGATCTTTATGTCTACCCTTTAGGCCAGTACTACACAGTCTTTGTTACTATGGCTTTGTAGTAAGTTTTGAAGTGGGAATATATTAGTCTTCCCACTTTGTTTTTTTTTCTTAAAATTGTTCTGGATATACAAGGTCCCTTGGCTTTTCATATAAATTTTAGCAAAGAAGCCAGCTGGGATTTTGATAGGGATTTCCTTGACTCTGTAGATCAATCTGGGAGGTGGGAGAGCAGTATCATTGTCATCATAACAGTATTAGGTCCTCCTATCCATGAATATTGGGTATCTTTCCATTTACTTAGGTTTTAAAAAATTTCTTCCAACAGTATTTTGTAGTTTTCAGTGTACAAATCTTGCTTTTATTTTGTTAATTTATTCCTAAGTGTGCTGTTCTTTATGATACTGCTGTAGTGGGGTTATTTTCTTAATTTTATTTTTGTATTGTTCATTATTATTGTAAAGAAATAAAATTGATTTTGGTATATTGATCTCATTATATCCTGCTACCTTGTGTAATCTGATTATTTAATAATGTTTTTGTGGATTCTTTGTGATTTTCTATATACAGGATTATGTCATCTATGAATAAAGGTTGTTTTAGTTCTTCCCTTCCAATCTGAACACCATTTCTTTCTTTTTCTTACATTATTGTCCTGACTAGAACCTCAAGTATGATGTTGGATAGAAGGGGTGAGAGTAGACATCCTTGTCTTGTTCCTTATCTTAGGATGATTCTTGTACTTTTTTTTACTATTAAATATGTTGACTATGGGTTTTCCTAGTTTATTGAGTGTTTCCATCATTAAAGTACTGGATTCTTCTCTCAAATGGTTTGTTTTTTCTGTATTAAAATGACCATTTTTTTTGTTCTTTATTATTATGGTATTACATTAATTGTTTTTTTTTTTATATTAAACCAACCTGGCAATTCTGGTGTAAGTTTTACTTGGCTCTTGTGTATATTTCCCCCTTTTATTTTGTTTATGCTGTTGGATTTGGCTTCCTAATTTTCTTTGAGAGCCTTTGTATCTTAAATTCATAAAGATACTCGTCTATAGGTTTCTTTTCTTGTAATGTCTTTGTCTGTTGTGGTACCCAGACAGTACTGGCTTTATAGAAACAGTGAGGAAGTACTCCTTACTCTTTCATTTTTCTGGAAGTTTGTGAAGGATTAGCATTAATTCTTAATTAATTATTTGTAGAATTCACCATTAAAGTCTTGTGGGCCTAGGATTTTCTTTGCAGGACATTTATTGAGTATTAATTTAGTCTCTTGGCTTATCTGTCAAATTTTCTGTTTCTTCTTAAGTCAGTTTTGGTAGTTTGTGTCTTTGTAGGAATTCATCCATGTCATTCTGTCATCTTAGCTACCTAATTTGATGACATACAATTGTTCATAATATTTCTAAAACATAAACTTAGATATGCAACTCTCCTCCTTAAAACTATTAAGTGCTTTTTAGTACCTTTAATTTTAAACCTTTAAAGTTATATTTAAAATGACTTAAGGCTTTGTTTAATTTGGTTTCTGTTTTTCTCTCCACTTTGAGACCACGCCCCCCCACACACATACACACCCCAAGTCATTCTTAAAATTCAGCCATAGAGCACTTCTTCCTGTTCCCTAGACACCATTTCTTTAGGTCTTAAACTATGCTTTTACTTCCAACTAGAGTACTTTATTGCCCCTTTTCTGGTATTTAGTTCATACTCACCCTTAGATGACACTTCTTATAGAGAAACCTGCTCTTACTGCCCACAGCTGAGTTAGAGGGCTTTCCTTTTTGACCATTTAGACCTGCATTTTCCTTTTATTGTGAAACAGATCACACTTTTATTTACTTATTATATGTCTGTCTTGATGACTCTTGAATGGGGTTAGAGATATTCAGGAAAGGAGGAATCAAGGAGGACTATCAGGGTTTCTCAGTTCAATATTTAAACAATAATGTAAGATAACGAAGAGCAAGTTTCCAAGAATAAGATGTTTTGGAAATGGTGCATTTTTCTAGTATAATATCCAAATGGAAATGTACAAGAAGAATGTGTACATGTGGTTCTTAATTTCAGTAAAGCTATGCTGTGGTATGTATGTCTTCCTGCTTTAGTCAGGTTGTTTGCTCTTCAGCTGCAGGGACCCGGGCTTGCTCCTCGAGCTCTGTTAGTGGCCCTTCACAGATCTCAGTAACTACTCATTGAATTGAGTTGTAAATAACAATGCCATGTGTCTGTATATCGTATTTTAATTTTATTGTAAATATCTTGCTTGGAAAGTAGGCCCAGCCGAAGGAGTAATGGCTGATTGTAGAAAATTTTAGTTTGGGAAAAATCCTGTTTTGTTTTGTTTTTTCCTTTTTACAACAACTTATTGATGCATTTTCATTTCAACAAACTCAAATCTTATTTTATGAATTCAACTATTTTCCGTGCCCTTTTTTTCTTTTAAAACTTGTTTTATTCTTGTCCTAAATACTTTTGTATTTTTCACAAGAGGTGAATTATGCTGTCTTCTGTCTTCTGTGTAGGACTATAATGACGAAATCAGGCAAGCACAGCTCCAAGAACTAACATATTTGAACGGTGGTTCAGAAAATGCGGATGTACCAGTTGTTCGAGGGAAACCCACCTTGCGTACAAGAGGTGTACCAACCCCAGCAATAACCAGGTAGGTGTAATTAACTGACTTAACTTTTTTGTTGTTAGAATAGGGTACCATGGCAACAGTTTTAATGTCTGCTTTCTTCATAGTCAAGCAGCTCTATCAGTGTATCAGTACAAAGCCTGCAAGAATATATTCAGACATTATGATGTCATAATTAAGGGGATTCACTTTGCTTGGACTGAGATCTTCTTGGGTTTAAATAGAACCTGTACCACTTAACTGACTGATGACTGTAGACAAGTTTATTTATCTCTCTAACATTAATTTTTTAATTTTTTAAAATGGAACTTGTTTTAAAGTAATAGCATTGATATGGATATTGAGGTCCTGGAAGCATGTGCCTTCCCCATTGAGTGTAGGATTAGGCCAGCTCTTTGCCACATCTCCAGTGTTGAGCACAATGTCAGGCACCAAGTGAGTTATCTAAAAGCCTGTTGTCATTTTATTCACTGAGAATGCTCTGTGGTATCTGAAAACTCCTCAGCAGGTGCAGGTACACAGAATTTTTTTTCTGTCTTTGGATTGATGACTACGTTTAATATGAAAAATGTTTTAATGAATTCATAAGACTGTTTAAGCAAACCCATATATTGAGATATGACTATCTCAGATTTATTTGAAAAATTTTACTTTTTTTAATCTTTGCATCCAAAAGAACTCTGTAGAAAGAAGTAACACAGATTTTTCACTGGTGACTGTATATATTTTTTCAGATAGAATTTTGCATGAAATAATTTAAAATAGCATTCTTTTTTATCTCCAAGTTCATTTGGGTGGAATAAAAAGTCAGTTTTCTTTTCTTTTCTTTTTATTTTAAGATTTTATTTATTTGAGAGAGAGAGAATGAGAGAGAGCACGAGATGGGGGAGGGTCAGAGGGAGAAGCAGACTCCCTGCTGAGCAGGGAGCCTGATGTGGGACTCGATCCTGGGACTCCAGGATCATGACCTGAGCCGAAGGCAGTTGCTTAACCGACTGAGCCACCCAGGCACCCCCAAAAAGTCAGTTTTCTTATTGAGTGTTGCTGATCAGTGTATGGTCAAAGAGCACAATTACAAATAGGTGTTATTGCCATGTAAAATAAACAGATCTGTACCAAGGGGATTTTCTCTATAAAAAAGGCTAATAATAATGGGATTGCTGTTGATGGTTTAATGAAATAATTTATTTAGGTGTTCAGTAAATGGTAAATCCCTTTCATTTTCATTTCTTCTACCATTAAATTTACTTGAAATCATAAGAAATTACAATTGCAACTTGATCATTGTGGGGGGTAGGGGTACTGACCCCTTGCATAGTCAAAAATCTGTGTATAACGTTTGACTCCCCAAAAACTTAACTAATAGCCCACTGTTGACTGGAAGCCTTACTGATAACGTAGTCAATGAATACACATTTTGTATGTTATATGTGTTAAATACAATACAAAATATTGTATTATTACAATAAGATAAGTTTGATAAAAGAAAATGTTACTAAGGAGCTCATGAGGAGAAGATGCATTTACACACTACTGCATTTATTGAAAAAAACCTGTGTGAAATGGAGCCATGCAACCACAAACCTGTGTTGTTCCAGGGTCGTCAACTGTACTTGCTTCATTAGTTTCCTGTGGCTGCTGGGATGAATTACCACAAAGTTGGCGGCTTTAAACAATGGAGATTTATCACCTCTGGGGGCTAGATGTCCAAAATCAGTATTGGCCAGACCACAGTCAAGGTGTTGGTGGTGCTCCCCCCTCTAGAAGAGAGTCCTTTCCTTGCCCCTTGCAGCTTCGGGTGCTGCCAACAAGCCTTGACTTGTGGCCCCATCACTCTGGTCTCTCTGTCTGCATGTCGATTTCTGTCATGTCTGTCTTCCATCTCCATTTGCTTCCCTCTTCCACATGATAGCATTTAGGACCCACCTGGATGATTCAGAGTATTCTCCCATCTCAAGATGCATCCAATAATCACATCTGCAAAGGCCCTTTTTCTAAAGAAGGCAACATTCACAGAATGAATCTCCTGGACAGAGGGCGTAGAGAAGAGAGCACACTCGGTGCCACTGTTGAGGGCACTTTTTAGGAGATGCTGTGTTCCTTAAACCAGATCTGTCATTTTGACTAAAGATAATTTCTAATTTCCCTGTCAGTTTTTTTTGTGTGTGTGTTTGTTTGTTTTAAGATTTTATTTATTTGTTTGTCAGAGAGAGAATGAGAGGGAATACAAGCAGGGGGAGCTGCAGGCAGAGGGAGAAGCAGGCTCCGCATGGAGCAGGGAGCCCGATGCGGGGCTCGATCCCAGAACCCTGGGATCATGACCTGAGCGAAGGCAGACGCTTCACCGACGGAGCCACCCAGGCGCCCCTCACTGTCAGGTTTTAAATTAAGTTGAAAATGTTATGAACAGGTGAGGAAGGCAGAAGCTTTTTGGTTTTTAGATTATAATATCTGGAGAAACACCTCTGTCTGCCCAGATGAAAAATTAATTCCTCTTGATAACGCATATACATTGCTTGCCATTGAAAGCGTTTCCATTGTCTTGACAGTGAATATTGTCTTTGTGGTGGAGTGTGGCTGGTTAGCGCTCGGCACTGGGCAGAGCACTTTACACACACCCTGCTTTCTTTCCTCCATTTGATTATGGGCTTCCTCGGTACTAGATCTTTCAAATACTCTGCTTTTTTACAGCGTAATATTCCTCTTCATAGAAGATGTACTCAGAGCCCTCCTGTATTCCTTCTTAAGGCCTCACTCTGTTTAGTCTTTATTGATTACTTTGCTGTATTTCCTGTGTGTTCCACCCCTGGCTGGAAACTGCTTGTTTCATGAAGTTGGTGCTCATGTCCTTCTAATACCTTTGTTCTCATTGTTCCTCTGCCCACAGTTCTGTAACCCCTCTCAGCCCCTCACCTGTTTACATCCTACTTCTCTTTGTGTTTCACACCAAAGCTTATTTTAACACTTCTACTGTATCTACTATTGATTACTTTTCTAAGCATTTACAGATATTAACTAGGTTACGCCTCATATCAACCCTGTGAGGGGGGCACTGGTGTGTTAACTCACCATTTTACAAGTGAGGGAGGTGATGACTTGTCCAGGATTTGTAGACCCTGGTTCCACAGTCCGTGCCTGTCCCCTGTCTTTGATCCTCCCCTTGGATTTCATCCAGAGTCGGGCTTTCTCCCATCCATTCTGCCACTGCATTTCTTCCATAGAGCTTTGGTTCTGTCACGTTTACTGCATTTTTATTGCAGCCCATGATGGCACCTTTAATACAAGCTATGGTGAAAATACTTTTATGTTTTTTACTACTTTTTCTCATTAAATCACATATAGTAACTTGCCAAACTAATATGCACATCTCCCAGAATAAAAATAAATGAATGTGGAAATTAGGACAGAAAGTTACAAAACCCTAAGGGTGAGGGTAGTACACCAGAGTACAGTCGCAGAGTTGGTCTTCGAATTATGCTTTGAGCTTCCTTGTAACTCAAGCCGAGGAAAACATGGGCATCAATTCACACTGTCTCAAGGTCTAAAAAAGTAATAAAACAGAAGACAGATGTACTCATCGAAGCCCAGGGCCTTCTGGTCCTCAGACCTGTGAGAAATCTCTCCGGTGCGCAGTTATCAGTAGATCTTTGCCATCTCCAATCCCTCAGTACACCATTTTGATTTTACCTCTGAAATAAACCTTAAGTCTGGTTTTCATTAATCACCTCTTCCATCCCCCCCCAATCTAGCCACACTGCTCTTCCACTTTTCATTTGCAGTCTTTAATGACCTGTTAAAATTAGATTTTGTCTGCTCCCTGCCTCAGTTTCTCTGGTGGCTCCCTTTGCAGCTGCAAGAACACCCAGACTTCCTGCTGTGCTCGACAACACCCTCCTCTTCATCTGGCGATCTCCCTGCCCTTTTTGACCTTGTGGTTTTCTGCACTGTGGCCAGGCTGGTCTCCTAACTATCTGGTAAACTGGCCAAGCTTATTTCCCTCCCAGGCCCTTTGCATTCACTGCCCCCGCTGCCCCCACCTCGGGACACTTTGGGCATCACGTTGTAGGGAGACATAGGCATGTGTCTGGGAAGCCTTACTGATCACCTTGCTGAGAGTCATCGTCCCCCAGTCCCAAAGCTCGGGTACAGCATCCTGTCTCGGTCCCTTAGTAGCATTTATCACTCTGAATTCTGCCTTTTTTATTTGTTCACATTTTCATTGGCTTCTCCTCATTATAATGTAAACCCGTAAAGGCTCTTGTGTCCCTAGGACCTGGCGTAAAGGATTCACTCAGTAAATAATTGTTAAGTGAATATGGTACAATAGCAAATCCTTCAGGCTCTTTTTGATCAAGTGTCAATCATTTACAATATTTTGTGTTAATGTGGTTCGCTGTCCCATGACTGAATGTACTAGGGGATTAACTTTGTGGGAATGGTCACACAGTTGTCACCATTTTGGAATTTTAGACTGGAACAAGTTACTGCTGGAGTCTTCATGAATGTTCCCCACTGTTACCACTTCAAGATACTTTTCTGCTGAAAGATGTAAATGACCTAAAATTAAATCCTGCAGTGGGAAGTAGTACGTGTTTTAATAAAGCCTTCGTTTCAGTTCAAATGGGAGAACTAAACATCCCCCTGTGTTAACTGAGGAGGTAGGGCGGTTTCCTTACTTCTGGTCTGTCCTGTGCATGCTTCCAGAAACACTGCTGGGAAATGTGGTGTCCCCCGCTCTTCACGCAGACCCCGCAGAGAAGGAGGCTGTGGAGGTGAGGCCACTCCAGGCAGCACGCTTTGGGCAGGTCCTCCCCGCCACCCCGACCTGCTGCCCAGCGGTCTGGCTAGGTGGTCTCGAACCGACGGGGATGCTCCCTCCACCCTTTCTTCAAAACAGCTGCCTTGTTCTGTGTTGCTTTTCTCCTGACCTTTACTCTGGCCATCTGGCCCTTCCTCCCAAGTAGCTGGCAGTCTTGCCTGCATTTGAGACCAGAAGCAGTAGGAAGAAGAGTGGACCAAGCAGG